AGCCTGGCTCAGGAGAGCTCACGGGAAGCTCCACTCCGTCCAGGCCATCTGTCCGACTCCATCTCCTGGTGGAGCCTGAGGCCATCTCTCCGACTCCATCTCCCTGTGGAACCTGCAGCCATCTCTCTGGCTCCATCTCCCCGTGGAGCGCGCGGCCATCTCTCCAGTTCCATCTCCTGGTGGAGCCCCTCCGCCCAGCTTCTTTAGCTTCCGGTATAATTTAGTAAGAGTCAACTGCCCAGGATGAAGGAAAGGGACACACAGACAGGCCAGGGCAGGGGACACGCTGGGCCTCCCGAGGCACAAAGCCTGCTGGCCAGGCATGGCGAATGACACAGGAAAAGGTGAACTGGAGGCGACCCCAATACCCCCATTGGCCACCTTCCAGACACAGCTCCCCACACCTGCAGTCGCAGCCAGAGGCAGAGCAGAGAAAGGCTCGGGGTGAGCCAGAGCAGCAGACACCTGCCGGGCCTCCCAGCACTCCCCCTGCCCACTCCATGCCCACTGCACCACCCCCATCCATCCCCCAGGTGGTGCCTGCAGGGCCCCTCCACCCACTCTGCCAGGCCACCTACACCTAGCGGCTCACAAGGTTCCAGTGACACAGCCCTGCTCAGCCCTGCAGTCTCCTGTCCCCACCCCGACGTGCACCTCACAGGCCCCTACTTCTCAGACCCCAGGAGAGCTGTACGAGCACTTCCTGTCACTGACTAGGAGGCCAAGTCCAGGGTCCCAGAGCTGTGTGTACGTCCTGAACCCCTAGGCAGAACAGCGGCAGGAGCTTGCCATGTCACAGAGCGGAGGGTGGGGACAAAGGGGCGCAGCCACACTGAGAACCACTGCCCACAAGATGAAGAAAGCAGCGGGGACAACATCAGGACAACCTCGCAGCTGCCTAGTGGGAGCATGGGAGGAGCCGGCCCGATGGCCCAGTAAAGCCAGCCTGAGGGACAGAGAGAAGAAGCCAGGACGGCTGCCAGACAGCCACCTGCGGGCCCTGGCCCAGGCTCCTCAGCTGCTGCAGGCTGGCCACGAGGAAGCGCCGGTCCACAGAGCCTCTGCAGACGCAGCCTGTGGGACGAGGCCCCAACGTTCGGGGGCTGAACTCCCCCGAGTCCAGGGCGTGGAGCCCACCAGCTCCCACCAGAACTCCAGAGACGACGAAGCAGCACTCCAGGGTCAGAGCCAGTCAGACGAGAACCACCAGGACGCTAGGGCTGGCAACTTGATTTCATGTCTACCCTTCACCAAAGTGGAGGAGTCACCAAAGGGGCGTACGGAGATGCAGGAGATGCACCGCTCCCTGCCTGTCCAACCCCGCAGGGGCGAATCCCCGGGAGAGCCGACACTCACTCTCCGACCTGCTGGGATCGTGTCAGGGTCTGGGCGTGGGCCAACACCGATCTCCGCCCAAGAACAAGGACGTCAGCTCCCCTAAACGTGCCACCCCACAGCCCAGCACAGCTTCGGGTCTAACTTGGTGTTCACTCGAGGGCCACTGTGCAGAGAGGGGGAAGGCGCCAAGCTCCCCGCACTGTCCTCAGGTGTCTCCGGCAGGCTGACACCCAATGCTCCCAGAGCACCCCTTGCCTGGTCGCTCCCCCTCCCCTTGCCTTCTGAGAGCCTCCAACTCCCTCCGGTCCACTCCAGTTCACTCCTTGTCCTAAGCTGGCTGTGGGGGCCGCTCTCCCACTGGCATGTCTGGGCTCTGGCCGTCCAAGCTGGAGCCCGGCACAGCTGTCACAGGGACGACAAGCAAGGCTCAGCCCCCTGCAGTCGGTTTCGCCATCCGAACGTGAGGTCGGCCATGAGGCGCCAAGGCAGTCCTTCAGGCAACACCTGGGCGTGGCGGTGTCTGGCCACTGCTGGTGCCACTGACTAAGGCGACGCTGGCCCCAGTGCTAACTCTGGGCCCACTGGGAGGGCGCGTCAGACCAGAGAGTCTGACAGTCACCCAGAAAGACAGCCATTTAACGGTGACATTTGGAGGACGGACAGGATGACGCCAAACAGCTGGCACAGTAGGATGGAGGCCTCTCCCCTGCCTGGTCCGCTCTGAGGCCTGAGAAGGGCAAATATGGAAGCCTCGAGCATTCTCTGCCCACTACTTGGCCCACTGCCCTGCCACCGTGGGCTCGGAAGGCCCAAGGAGACCTCAGCTCGTCCCAGGAGCACACGGGAAGCCCGAACAGGGCCTTGGGCTCACCAGCCCCTGGAAATGACCTGTTTAGCCCTAGGGACCTCTAGCACACCGGCAAAGCATGCTCTAAAGAGGCTTCCACCTTCCACAGGCCCTTTTCTCTGCCCTGCGCACGCGGGGGCCCCACTCCCGGCTAACAGCACACCGTCCAGCACTCCTGGAGGGCAGGCACACCGCTCGTGGTCCTGCCCGGTGCTGAGGGCAGGAGGATGCACAGCGTCCCCCAGAGCACGGACGCAAAGGTGCTCCCACACCAGCAGGGCAGCCACACAGCTTGCAAGACCCTAGCCCTATTCCACCA